CCATGCAGAAGAGTTATGTCGACCGTAAGGTCCGTGATGTTGCATTCATGGTCGGAGAGCGAGTGTTGCTTCGTGTGTCACCCATGAAGGGTGTAATGAGGTTTGGAAAGAAGGGAAAGCTGAGCCCTAGGTACATCGGGCCTTTTGAGATTCTTGATCGAGTGAGAGAGGTGGCTTACAGACTTGCGTTTCCACCCGGTTTATCAGTGGTCCATCCAGTATTCCATGTGTCCATGCTTCGGAAGTACTAGGGCGATCCATCTCGCGTGTTAGACTTCAGCACTGTCCAGTTGGACAAAGATTTGACCTACGAGGAGGAGCCGGTAGCCATTCTAGACCGGCAGGTTCGTCAGTTGAGATCGAACAGTTATCCCTCAGTTCGAGTGCACTGGAGAGGTCAGCCTATTGAGGCAGCTACTTGGGAGTTCGAGTCCGATATGCAGAGTAGATATCCCCACCATTTCACCAGCTCGGTTACTTTTCTATGTCCATTCGAGGACGAACGGTTGTTTTAGAGGTGGAGAATGTGATGATCTAAAAGGTCATCTTATGATTTAAAACTAAATTCTGCGTTTCGAGGTCTTAAAAAACTCATTTTATTCCTCCTCGATTTGTGTGTGCAATCCGGGCGTGTTTTTGGAAAGCCTTTATGTTAAAAGTTGATAAAAATAATAATTTTTGCCTTTAAAAGTTGATTTAGCTGACTTCGGTCAACGTTTTGAGTAAACGGATCCAGAATCGTGTTCTGACAATTCGGGTGGGTCCGTATCGAAATATGGGACCTGGGCGTATAGCCGGAATCAGATTCGGGGGTCCCTAACCCGAGTAATGATTTTTTGTTAAAAATTATAGTAAAAATTTAATGGTTTTTAAGGAATTGTTAATGTTTGATCTTGTTGGTATTCGGTCCGTATTTTGCTTCCGGAACTCGCTACAGGTTCAATATAATATTTAAGTGATGTCTGTGAAATTTGGTGAGAATCGGAGTTGATTTGATGTGATTCGGACAACCGGTTGAGAAAATAGAAATTTCAAAGTGTTCTTGGGAAATTCATGTGATTTGGTGCTAAATTCGTAGTTCTAGCTGTTATTTTGGCGATTTGATTGCGAGCAAGTTCATATTATGTTTTTAGACTTGTGTGCGAGTTTGATTTGGAGCCCCGACGGCTCGGGTGAGCTTCGTATAGGCTTCGGGTAATTTGAAACTTAGAAAACTGCTGCTTTTTGTTGCAGGCCTCAGACCTCGCAAATGCGAGGTCAATCATCTTATTTGCGATCTCTGAAGAGTTCGCATTTGCGAGCTTCTCATCGCAAATGCGAAGAGAAGCTAAGCCAGCTCATGTTCGCAAATACGACCATTTCTTCGCATTTGCAATGGGGGCAGGGGGAGGCAACCTTCGCAATTGCGATCATCTGATCGCATTTGCGACCAGCTTAGTTCGCGTTTGCGAACTTTTCTTCGCATTTGCGTAGAAGGCAGGACTGTGGGAATCTTTGCAAATGCGATGGTTTTCTCACATTTGTGGGGTTCGCATTTGCGAAGCCCGGGTCGTATTTGCAACATCTACAGCTGGTAAAATTTGACTTAGACGGGATTTTTTCTCATCTTTCAAAACAAGAAACCCTCTAGGCGATTTTCCAAAGACCACTTCTTCCCCAAATAATAGGTAAGTGATTCTTAACTCATATCTTTCAATATTTCACTTCATTTTACAAGATTTCAACCTAGAATCTAAGATTTTCATGGTGGAATTGGGGATTTTAGGATAGAAACTAGGGATTTCGAAATTTGGGGATTTAGACCTCAAATGAGATCGGATTCCAAAACCAATTATATATTCGGTTTCGGGGGTGAATGGGTAATCGGGATTTGGTCCGAATTTCGGATTTAGACCAAGCGGGCCCGGGTGTTGACTATTGTGACTTTTAAAAAAATGGCCTCAATTGAATTCCTTGCAGTCGTGGGTAGTTCCTAAGGCTTAAATTGAATTGTTTGGTTGGTAATTTGCTAGATTCTTTTGGTCCGGAGGCTTGTGTGAAGGGTAAAGCGGTGATTGAGCTTTGAGTTTGGCCGTTGGAGCGAGGTAAGTGTTGTGTCTAACCTTGGCTTGAGGGATTAGGTATTGTTGCCTATTTGCTACGTGTTTATTTGTTGAGTACAACGTATAGGTGAGGTGACGAGTACCTATGCGTTGTTGTCGAGTCATAGCATGCGAGTGAGTCTTATTCTTGTGATTTTTGTATTCTCTATTCATATTGTTCGTGTTTAGACTAGTTATTGTTTATGTTGGGCAATTATTATCATATTTTACGGAATTTGATACTGATTGAGTATTGACTCAAAGTTGAGGTTGACGTTGTGGAACTAAATGTTGAAATGGGACTTGTTATTAATAATTCTATCTCCCGGCTGTTATTGTTTTGTTGTTTGGGTGAGGAAGAGTGTAAAGCACGAAGGGTGATGTCGTGCCATTTTATATTCATTATCATGTGAGGAAGAGTGTAAAGCACGAAGGTTGATGCCGTGCCATTTTATATTCATTATCATGTGAGGAAGAGTGTAAAGTAGTACGAAGGGTGATACCGTGCCATTTCATATTCATTATCATGTGAGAAAGAGTGTAAAGCACGAAGGGTGATACCGTACCATTTGATATTCATTATCATGTGAGGAAGAGTGTAAAGCACGAAGGGTGATGCCGTGCCATTCTATATTCATTATCATCGTCTCTTTCATTTATTATGGTGAGGATGAGAGTAAAAGCGCGAAGGGTGATGTCGTGCACTTGTTTTTGCTATGTTTAATATTTCCATTGGTGCCAAGCATGTCGTTGCTGTGTTTCTTTACTGTTACCATTCTCATGATCTTGTACTCCCCTCAGCATGTTTTCCCTCTCCCGCTATTATCTGTTTAGCTTCTATTATTTTTTATTATGCCCGTATATTGTATAACCGCACATGTTTATATATGTGTCTTGTCCTAGCCTTGTCACTACTTAGCTGAGGTTAGGCTCGGCACTTACCAGTAAACATGGTCGGTTGTAATGATACTGCACTCTGCACTTTCTGTGCAGATTTCGGTACTGGACTGAGTTGATCCGAGTTAGCTATTGGCTTCATCTTATCGGAGACCCAAGGTAGTCATGTTGACGTCCGCAGGCCCTGGCGTCCCATTCTATGCATTTCCTTTACTGTTTTATTTGTATCAAAAATAGTTGTATTTCCTTTAGACACTTTACTTGTAGTTAAATCTTAGTAGTTCGTGGACTGTGACACCAGATTCTGGGTAGTTATGTATAAGTATTAATTGGGTTATTATAGAATTCCGCACTTCCTTAATCTGTTACGGTCTAATTGTTGTTATTTATCGAATCATTTAAGAGTTAGCGTATTTAACTTCTAATTGTTGGTTTGCCTAGCAACAGAAAGGTTAGGTGCCATCACGGTCCCGATGGTGAAAAAATCCGGACCGTGACAAGTTTAGAAAAACTTGACAAAAACAAAGAAAGACCTAAATTGAATAATCCAAACTCTTAGACAGTAAACACATATGACACAGAGGCGAAGCTACATTGCATTAAGGGTGATCAATTGACCATCATTTGTTAAAAAATTACATTGTATATATAGGTAAAATATTTTATTTTAGAAGTATATAATATATACATGAGTCAAATCGCTTAATAATAACATCCCTATATAACAATCATTCACTATAAAAGTCAAGTTTTCCTCAGAACCGATTTCTTAAGTTATATTTTACCTCTCTATAACAGCTTTTTACCATAACAACAACAACCATATTTATAGTAGAATGCTCTTATAAAATTACCCTCTATAACATCCATATAGAATCATTAAGATTACTAATAATAGATTTAAAAATATGCACACAATCTTTTCCATTAACCAAAGTTTATATCTTGCATAAGATATAAGATCTGAAGATTTGCACATAATATCTTTTTCATTGGACAAACTTTAAAAAATATTTAGATAGAAAATTTAAATGTTAAGATTTTAGATTGTGTTCAAGGGAAAGCTATTGGATACCTTTTTGCAGAAAATTTAGACACGAATCTTCGCCAATTCAAGCGTTATGTCGCCAATAAGATAATAAATCTACAAAACAAGCTACAATTACAAAGTTCTTCAATCAATCTTGAAAGAATTTATTTTAGGTAGCTTTAAAATGTCTGTCTTGGAGTTTAAATCTTTATATGTTTAGTTATGAATTTATTAATAATATATTAGCTTTCTTCAATATTTAAATAGTGAAATATGCATATCTTTTGAGATTTTAAATATGATTAATTTTCTTATCTTTTATATGTAACATTAAAAAACAAAAAAATAATTGATTTTGGAATAATTTTTATCTACAACAGCTAAAAAAATATTTAAACGTCAAATATTGTTATAGGTGTATAATAGTCATTCACTATAAAAGCCAAAAAATATCGAAACAAACGAGGCTGTTATAGAGAGGATTGACTGTATTTTACACCCTCTACCGGAAAACTTTTTTACTTCTTTTAATTTTGAATACCTTTAGGGATATTTCTCGCTTCGTCACAGATGACATAACCACCGCATCTTAAGAAGCCAAACTAGAATGTAGCTACTATATATGATAAACTCCTTTGTATATCTTTCTAATTTTTCTTACATTTTTACTGTCAAAGTGAACGAGTCCGAACTTAAGATCGTATTAAGATTCTAAAACTAGTGTTGTCACCACCAAAATCGATGTTGTTTTGGATTTGATCGTGAATCTTTCTCCTCTTAAGATAATTAGGCTTAGTGCTTCCTTAATACAACGAAAATTCTAAGCATTTGTCAACAAAGGGGTCCTTAGCTCAGTGGTAGAGCATTTGACTGCAGATCAAGAGGTCACCGGTTCGAACCCGGTAGGGCCCTCTAATATCTATTCTTTATTTTGTTTTTAACTTTTCCTTTTCTTTAAATGAATTATTTTTTTAAGTTGACAAAATCTAATATACCGCAAAAACTAAAGTATATAAATCATTCAACTGAAAACTTTACACTGAACCCAAACCATGAAAAAGTTTGTTACAAACTATATATATGCAAAGGTAATTGCATGCGTGCATGTAACAATTCAGGCACCTATACTAAGTTGGCGGTCACTTCACAAAAAAGGAATTATATTTTTTGCATTAGCTGACTTAAAATTTTATGTATGTGTACGTACGAGGATACATACACTCATTCAATCGCAAATAGGGCAATGAATCAAACCATTCTCATTACACTTTGGACATCTTTCCTTAACATGCCCATTCACAACCTTGCAACTTCCTCCACAATCAAAACATGGCACAAACCTAGCCCCTCCACACCCTTCACACCCTAACCTCCCCACACCCCTCTCAACTCGAGCTCGATTCAGTATCCTCCCAAGTCGACTCGTCTCATTCAAATTCACTACTTCCTCCACTCCACCAATGTACCTTCCTTTAACAAACAACCTCGGCACGCTCGCGTCTTCTTCCTCTCCTAGAAGCTCCTTCAACTCCTGACGAAACTCACCGTGCAACGCCACGTCGCGCTCGTCAAAAACCACCCGATGCGACTCCAAGATTAGCCTCACTTTGTTACAATCCTCGAACGTGCGACGCACACCACCTAGTGACGTCGTGTAGACAACCAATGAATCCTCGCCACGTGGCGGACACTTTTCGGGGTAATCACTTAAAGGGTCAAATTTAATGAAAGTTGGAACTTTCCCTTCTTTTTCTCTTTCCATTTTGTCTCTTAACAAAAATATATTCTCTTTCACTGGCTTGTACCCTTCAGATTCTATCCTTTGTTGTACATTCCCCGTATGAACCACAATTTGTGACTCATTTTTCACTGTTTTATTACCAAACTTTTGCAACTTTTTATATTCCTCATAAGTAGGCATGGACTCTGTTTTCTTCAACTCATTAGGTTTTTTTGAACCTTTAGATGAAATGTTGGATTCAACTTCTTCAAGGGTATGAAAGGAAAAGCTTTTTCTTGGAAGTCTCCTTTTCGGGGAAGCGCCGCCATCTTCGGCGGCTGGCGGCGGCGGCGCGGGGAGTGCGAGGAGAGGTTTTTTAGGTGATTTTAGTGGTGGAGGATTTTGTAGGGTTGGTTTAATATCTTCTAAAGCTTTGCTAACTTCATCCCAAGAACGAGGATCCTCATCAATATTTGCGTTGAATTTTGCAAGAATTGGTTGTGGTACTATTGCAAGTTGTTTCTCTTCTTGTTCCTCCTCATCTTCTACCTATTAGAACATAAATTTGTCACGTCAGGTGATCTGATAATGTAAAAAATTCTTTACCGCCCGAGAGTGCATATAGTTTAAATTCATTTAAAAACTGTCTACCAAGAAAAGGATCATTTGTGTAATTGCATTAGTTTCTTATTTCCTATTTAGCCCGTCACAACTGAGGAACTATAATCAAATCTCTCTATAATAGCCTCGTTTGTTCCAGATAGTTTTGGATTTTATAGCTAATTGTTGTTATAGAAAACATATATTATAACACAATATGAAATTTGGTTCCAAAAAAAACCTGATTTTTGTAGTGAAGTGTTGTTATATAATGATGTTGTTATAGAGAGGCCTAACTGTATTTAATTTCTAAATAGAGTTTAAAAGAAAATGCACTTCAACATAAAAGGCACATTTTTTGTAAAAATTATTAGAAATGGAAGGGATATAGAATAGCATTAAATGAATTTTTCGTTAGTGAACTAAATTAGAAACTACGGTAGAATATGTATACATAAAAATTCATACTTTCTGAGGTATTATCGACTCATTTAACGTTGAATCTTAGTTTAATTTGTGGCAAACAGTACCTTGTTATTGCCCGCTTTGAGCCAAGGCTCTTCGATAGAGTTGATATCAAAGACGGCGAAGCTCGTCGGCGGTGGACGGTAGACGTCGACGGTAGCCTCTATTCTTTTCGACGAGGCGCAGCCCATAATTCGATAAGTTTTATTCTGAGTTCAACGAAATGTGATTTTAGTTTTTCTGAGTTATGATTTATGCTAAGCAACTTATTACATGGATATAGGTAAGTCTTAGCCTTAAAAATTATATGTGGTGTTTGGTATTGCCAATTGGTATTGAGACAACCAATTGAGGATTTAGCCAAGATTTTGGTCGTATGGATCTTGAGATGACACGTGGCATTTTTTTTCTCTTTTTATTCTTTATCTGTTTTTCTTAACCATAAGAAAAATGGAATTAAAAGGATGGACATAACTTTATTTAAGACCAAAGTCGTTATCTAATTTTATGCCGTGTCTTATTTTTCTTAGTTTTATTTCGATATCCTTGTTTAAGGAATAATATACATTTATTTTATGAAATAAGGCTTTATTTAGAAACAATATAAAACGTTTTACAAGTTTTATTTAGTAACAATACAAAATGTTTTACAAGTTTTGTGTAAATTGAACGACTCCAACACTAATCCACTTAGATTATCATCCATATTAACAAACATTTGCCAGTAGTTGGTTTTTAACTCACTCAACTTTGTCAAATTTTTCACTCCACTCATTTCATTTACGTAAACTTATTTAACTGGCACAAAGTTTAAAAAAAAAAAAAGAGAAGACTCTTAAATTTGTTGCACAAAATAAGGCGCATATATTGTAAAGTAATCTGCTTTCAAATTTATTTATTTATTTATTTATTTATTATTATTAATATTATTATTATTATTATATAACCGTGGTGTTCGGGCCAGCTTGTGTGCACCTAGACTAATTCCACGGGATACCTGCCACCTCCCACCAGCAACAGGTATCAGGTAACTCTATCCACCAAGGCTTGGATAGATGGGAAGAAATCACCTAGTGTTTTTTATCTGCGTTGGATTTGAACATGAGACCTCATGGTTCTCACACACTTCATTGACCACGTCTCCGTCGGAATTTGAACATGAGACCTCATGGTTCTCACACACTTCATTGACCACTGCTTTCAAATACCTCCCACCTCCCACCAGCAACGGGTACCAGATAACTTTATCCACCAAGGCTTGAATAAATGGAAAGAAATCACCTAGTGTTTTTTGTCTCCGTCGGGATTTGAACCTGAGGCCTCACGGTACTCGCCCACTTTATTGACCATTAAGCCACACCCTTGAGTGCAACTGTTTTTAAATATGAAATGGGGCCATTCTTTTTGGGCAGATTAAAAAGGAAATCGGCTCATATAAATTGAGACCGAGGGACTAAATTTTTTAGACATGCCCTAAAATGGATACAGCTCATGTTTCATTGTCAAAGAGGTAGATAGAATGGGTACTAAAGGCTGCTAAATTTGGGATGTGGTAATCAGAGACACAAGAGGGCCATTCCGTAATGGTACTTGGATTTTATTGGCTTGGAACATAGCACGTACCCACTAATATACTCTGTTTAGTGTCATTTAGACCACATGATAGAAAATGCCAAAGTTTGTGTATGACCTACTTTATTTTCTTTCATCAATATCAACCAGAAATATTACTAATCCATAGGATTAATGGTTGGAAATTATGTATAATGAGACGCTGTTACCATCATATCTAACACTCACCTTTATTACAATACACAAATGACCATCTAATTTTAAGTTTGAATTTTGACAATTCGAAGTATGAGGGTCAAACTATATAATTTTAACTATGAATTTAGACAATTCGGAGTAAGAAAAACTCATTTTACTCTCAACATAATAACTGCATCACATAAACGTTAGATAGAGAGTAAATGATAAAAAGTCATATACTAGCTATTAGTAGAAAAGAACCAATTTGGGTAGTCAAGTGTGTCGATTAATATTAGTACGGCCTAATAATAGTTAGGTGACACAAACAACTTCACACCATTGAACCACTGTCTCAAGTATAGGCCATTTTAGGCCTAGTCTGGAATTATCCTTGGGCCAAACAATTTTTGTTAGGCAATAGTATTATACCTTAGGGGAAGAGGCTAGTTAGGTGAATGGAAAATCAAGCAAGGAATTTAAGAAGCTCTCTTTAGTCTTTCCAAAATCCAGCTACCCCTTCTAATTAGTTAACATCTATATACCCAAAAATAAGTCTCCTACTGTTCAAGTACCTCAGATATTACAATCTACTACTGCAAGTAACGAACAAATAAAATATACTAAGCTCTCGACTCCATTTTCTTGATGGCCTTTTCAACTGCAGGAATATTCTTGTTGAATGTTGCCCATTGCTCAGCTGTCAAGCTTATGCCTGCAGGAGAAAACATAACAAGGATCAGAGGCAGTCCTCTTCTTTTTCTTTTCCTCGCGCAATTTTGTCTGAATGAAATCAGGAAATTTTACATAATGAAAGTTAAGAAAAGCTACGGGAAAAATGAAGAATATTGCAGCAGTGGACACTATGCTGTCACCACCTATACTGCAGGTGTAAGGACAAGATAGTGAACTTAGAGGAGGGTTACCACATCTATAGAGGAGCATATAGTACCATATTTTCCCGTCCTTGGCCTTATGATGGGCCTGACAATTGTTAGTTCTGAATGAAGAATCAAACACCTACTTCTATCAAAAAGCCTTTTTTGGGCATCCCCAACAAATCATCAGTACCGCCATCGTCCATTTATTTTGCTTCTAGACTCGCATTGCTCTAATGACTTAAAGAAGAAGAGAAAAGCTGAGCAGATTGTACACTAGCAGTTGTAGCATACATTCAACAGAAAGACCAGAAAGCAAAATATCCAGGTGGTCTAACAATGGCCCATAAAGTCCAACATTAAGCTGAAAAAATAACCTTGCAGATTATCAGTCTAAACTCTTCCTCGTCAACCAGGAGCTTTCTTTTCTTACTCTCAAAAATTTCACTTCCTTATTGTGCTCATTTCCAACATGATGCACTAAGCCATACTTATGCTATGTCATTGGGAGCATGGTAAATTCTGGATGATGTAAATGATGGAGTTGAATAACATATGGATAGCAGAATGCAGGGGTGACAAACACCTCCATTGCGGTAGGGGGTGGATATGTTTTTATGATGGACAAAGATAGAGATAAAATTACAAATAATATTTAGCTGATGGAAAACCAATTAAAATCAAATATTAACAAGGTATTTGGAAACAACCGAAAAGCCAGGACGACACTAGAAAGTAAAGCCATTGACTTGGAAATTAACAGCTAAAAGATCAGAATGTAGATAGCTTTTGAGACACTGCTCGTGCAGTACTCCTTGGTGGAGTTTTTAAATCAGCAATCAAGCAAGAACTGCTTATCCAAAAAATTAAATTCTTTATCGAGTACTCCTCGTGCAGTACTCCTTGGTGGAGTTTTTAAATCAGCAATAAAGCAAGAACTGCTTATCCAAAAAATTAAATTCTTTATTGATTACCCAAGCAGTAGGGTAACCGAAGTGCTTATACAGAAACCTTTAAATTCTTTATTAACCACAAAGCAATAGGAAAGAAGTGCTTATATTATAAGAACCTAAATTCTTTTCTTATTTTTATGTTCTCTCGACCTCTTTAAGTGATCGCAGTAGATATAGCTAATAAAATCATGTATAAGCTAATTAGATATTTTTTTGGGGTTAAGGGCATAAGAGTGCACACAGATTATGGTGGTACTATAAGCTAATAATTCCTCTAAGAGATAGACAACAACAACGACCCAGTAAAGTCCCACTAGGTGGGGTCTGGGGAGGGTAGTGTGTACGCAGACCTTACCCCTACCCCAATGGGGTAGAGAGGCTGTTTCCGATAGACCCTCGGCTCAGGAAGCTGGAAATAAAACAAGAAAATAAGAAAAGAAGAAAAGACAATTCATCAGTAACGTCAACATAACCGTAGAAATAATGACAGCACCCTAAAAACCATAAAATAGATGACATGCAATAACAATAACCCGCAACTAAGGTCCAAAACGATGGGAAACAGTAAGATTAGTGTGAACTCTACATTAAACACAAGCCGTCTAAGACCATCCTACACAAACTCGCTTCACCCCCGGAATGGGGAAGGAGAAGCTCGACTACCACTCTATCCTACAACCCTAATGCTCGACCTCCAGACCTTCCTATCGAGGGCCATGTCCTCGGAAATCTGCAATCGAGCCATGTCCTGTCTGATCACGTCTCCCCAATACTTCTTAGGCCGTCCTCTACCTCTTCTCGTACCTACTAAAGCCAGCAGCTCACACCTCCTCACCGGAGCATCCAGGCTTCTCCTCCGCACGTGCCCGAACCATCTGAGTCTCGCTTCCCGCATCTTGTCATCCACAGAGGCCACACCCACCTTGTCCCGAATATCTTCATTCCTAATCTTATCTATCTTAGTGTGCCCACACATCCACCTCAACATCCTCATCTCAGCTACCTTCATCTTTTGGACATGAGAGTTCTTAACTAGCCAGCACTCTGCCCTATACAACATGGCCGGTCTAACCACTGCCCTATAAAACTTACCTTTGAGTAACAGTGGCACTTTCTTGTCACATAAGACTCCAGATGCTAGCCTCCATTTCGTCCACCCCACTCCTATGCGGTGAGTGACGTCCTCGCCAATCTCTCCATCCCCTTGAATAACCGACCCAAGATACTTGAAACTACCTCTCTAAGAGATAGACTTGAAAGAAAATCGGGCAATAAGAATAGAGGCAAGAAGGCATCAAGAGATAAAATTATTCTGTCAAGTCTTCCTACTCCATTAAAACCTAGGACATAAAATACGGAGCAGCCTTAAGATGGATAACAAATAACTACACATTTTAAGCAAAGCAATAAGGAAATGTTACTTTTTCTCCTTGTAGCGACTCAAATCATGAGCATAGCGCAATTTAATTCCTCCATGCAACAAGAATTGATTTAAAAAAGTTTTTTGGACAGAGACTTCATTTCTTTTTGTAGCAATCACTTAAGCTTATTTCAAAAGAGAAAACATGCATATATGTGTATAAACAATGTATACATGTAATAAACAAATAAAGATAGTATTACCTTTAGCAGTAGGTAACTCCTTGCCATCTTTGTTGTAGTACTCTCTTATCGACACCAGA